TAAGTTGCTATTTTACGCTGGTATTCTGTGAGAGCGTGGTTCTTCCCTGGTTGAGCCGACCCATACATGCTACAACTATACTGTTAATATAGCTGCAGCATGGCTCTACCACGTATACCACATATCCTAAAAATGGTATTTTTTTTTAAGTGAAAATTTGGTATGGTATTAAAACAATAAACGTCACATTTCTTGTAATGTTTCACTATAATTTAACCTACTTATGTAAAAATATGAAATAAAAGGAGAATGATATGTCGTACAGAAGTTTCATTTCGTATGTGTGTATACAATTACATGCATAAGTTTTAATTTTCTGAGACATGCAGGTTTGCTCACAATTCTGAGTCACTACAGCTGTTGTTGTAGTTCTAGAGGCTATAACTTGTCCTAAATATTAGAATACAGTCAATCTATCCCTACATAGGTGCTAGTAGAGATATCTCTACTAGCACCTATGTAGCCTATAAAAAGTTCACTGCTGAACCAAGACTTCTCCCATGTATTGTTTCAGAAGGGGGGTTATTAACCATAGTTGCCACTCTTGGCATCATGGTTGATAACTGCAGTATTTTGTAATTAATGAATTGTTATCAGGAAGATGCAGCTAATTCAGTTTACCTCTATCTCGTCTTATGATACCCACAAGATGATATAAGGTAGTGTATTCTCTCTTATACCAGCAAAAAACAAATTATGTTCAGTGTTGAAGAAAACCATTGTTAAATAACGGACCTAAATATAGGTCACAAACTATCCAGTCTTTAAAACCTATTTATAGAATTCAAGTTTCAAAATACTTACTTGATGTAACCATGGTAGCCATATTATTTAGGCTCGCCAGCTGTTCCTTGCATTACACTTGTGTTCCCAGGTCATTGAACCTGAACCAACAAAGATAAGGTTATGAATAAATTGCTATTTATTTGCTTACCTATAATAACAAATTTAGTTGAGCCATAAAAGTTAATTAGTTTGAAACAAATGAGCACACATGTACAAGTGTGCACGCTGTTCTTTCACTAATTGAACAGTTTAAATTGTATTGATATGGCTTTAGGTTTCAAGTTAATGTAAGGAAATATTTATTCACAGTACAACAAGCAGCACAAAGGTTTCAAAAAGTCACCCAAAAATAAACTACCAACTATTTTGTTAAATTTTAAAGAGTGAAAATAAGTTTTAAATCATTCAATCTTTATGAAGTTAAGAAAATACAGTTTTTAAAAGAAAACTTTCTTGCGCTGAATGGCATAAGTTAGAAAAATGTATATTTAATAAACACAATATATAAATGCCACAAATTGCATTTCTTGGGGGAGGCCTAGGTACGACTTTCCATTGACGTCCGTCGAGTTTGGTGTTGATACGTATTTTTACAGAAAGATTACATTTTTATAAGCACACACACACAGTTTCAATATGCGAAACATGTACTTTTTGAGAGAAAAGTATTGAAAATCAAATATTTTTGCAATATTTATGTCAATTCCTACCTACTATGAAACTGACGCCATTTTTTATTATTATTGTCAGTAGCTCCTCGCCTCAGCAACTTCGGCTTGTTGGTCGCCTTCGGCGTCCAGCCTTAGCCGCTCCGGCTCGTCCGATGCCTGCGATTTGTTACGCTAAGGCGTAGAGGCTGCTCTTCCCGCAGTGCCGGAGACGTAGCAGTCTCAAAATAGATACAGAAATCCTTCTGAATCAGTCCCCTTATTTTTTTATGACGAAGGGAATTTTTTTCTCATAAAATGGAATTATATTTACATTATAAATGCAAACATGAAAACAATATAGATATTTTAGAAATCGATTTTTTGGGAATCGATACATCAACTTTAAAATCGAATCTATTTAAAAACTCTATCTTTTTCGGAAAGAATCGACATCCCTATTGACGTAGACATTGACATTACAAAATGGCACCAGTTTTACGGTAGGATTAGACATAAACATTGCAAGATAATTGATTTTCAATAATTCTTTTCTCAAAAATTATGCGTTTCCACTTGTTGAAACTTTGTATGTGTGCTTATAATAGTGTAACTTTTCTGTAAAAATACGTATCAACACGCAACTCGACGGACGTCAATGGAAAGCTAAGCCGAGGCCTATGTTCAGCAGTGGACTTGTGAAGGGCTGTAATAATGATGATGATGATGATATATAAATAAAAATATACATTTTAAATCCTGAAACTAGATTTATATATAATATTATAATACATATTATATTACACTTTCTACCTATAAACATGCTTGTAATTTTTTTTAAATCTGATATTTGTTCTTTGTACTTGTAAAAGACATGGAAACAACCGGAAAGTAAATACTAAAGAAAAAAGTTATTACTCCTATTTAAAAAATTACTTAAAAAGTAATTCAACATAATTGTTATAAGTATTAATAATAAAAGTCACAAAAGCAGTTGCCAACAGTTTTTTGTAGTTCTGATAAGAACTTGTAATCTTATTATTTTTTATAAAAGGGTGAATAAATCTGTCTGATAAATTAATTCCTTTGTGATGTTATATGACATTTATCTTGTATCTGATAACTAATAACATGTTGTTGCCACTTGTATTTTTAGAGATTTTTATGGACTTTAATTATAAAACCGTAAATAATTAAAGCAAGCAAGTCATGATGCCAGTCACTTACATATTTTATTTATAACTTTTCGCCTTTGAATTAATAATTATTTTCAGGTAGAAAAGTTAACATGTAGTGTATTAAAACACTATCAATCTTCATTTGAGATAGTTTTTTTGTGTATACAAATGTTTCACATTATTTCTTGAATATCTATGAAAGGGGTCTTAAAAAGAACTTGACTGTTTTCTAACACAAGAAGGGTACATACTGAAATTAGAATATGTGGAATAAACAAAACGTTAAATGCATTTGTAAACCATGATGATACAATTCCTACTATTAACACTAAAAAGCTACTGACCTTTAAATAGGACACATACGATCACAATACGAAGAATGGCACGATAAATAAAAACAAATTCCACACGGCTACACACTTTCTAAACAAGGACATTCACAGATTCACAAAATGTCTAATCTACCAAGATATAATAAGAACTACAAAAGATTAGAAGCTATTCAAAATGTAATTGATAAAGAATCTATTACTGTAATATTACAACATTTTCTTTGTTAAATAAAAATCGAAATATGATTATTTGATGATCAACTCAAACTCAAATCAAATGAATGACATATTTGACAAATGACAAATTGACAATATGTCTTTGTTGTTTTTATTATTCGCTCGAGAGAGCAGGCAAAGGAACTAAGCCATACAGCCTTCTATTCGTTATTTTGAATATATAGAATTTCACTGCTTCACAATACGTTGATGCGTCACATTGTGCAGCCCTTGGGAGATTTTGATGGCAACATGAGCCAGCAGACAGAGGCGCCCATGGAAACAAACAGCTTATCTTGAGAATCCATCACCATCAGAGCACTCGTTTCACCGTTTCCACTCACACACAAAATCGCACCACTTTACATATCAAATTCCACTTCAAACTATTATTTAAACTATAATACAGGAGCAGGAAACCGCCGCCGGTCAAGTTCCCGCCAAAACTCCTAAATTACTCTATGACAGTGACGTAAAAGATACAAATTCGTTCGGAAATTTTGCCAAACCAAAGAAAAATGCTGGTAGGTTTTCACGGCACGGTTCTCTGCACGAAGTGATCCGAAGAGCTCTTGTCTCTATAAATGTTCCCTCGGTTTAAGAGCCTTGTGGAATATTAAGAGACGATAGCAAGAGACCCCACGGTATGACATTGATCCTGATATTGATTTCGCGGGTTCGCAGTGTTCACAAGTACCCAATAATCGATTATGGATTTATTGACATCGATATTTTGATGTTTGCGATGCGGCAACATCGATATTTTCATTTCTGACATCAATGATCACTGACTTGTGAGCAGTGTCGCCAAGTTAGGCGATTTTTCGCCTTTTAGGCTATCTCGAAGGGTGGCGGGACGATCAAAAATTGCGAATGGCGACTGGTCGCCATTTAGGCTACTTCGGAAAAAAACAAGGGCGTTTTTCGGCTATATAATTTTTTCCCTTATTAAGTACGCCTCTTAGGATATATAATAAAAATGCGTGTAATGAAACATATGTTTTTGACCCAGAGAAATATCAATGTATACTAGATTTGAAGGTATGAATGACCTAAGAAAAGGTGGTTTTTCTTATATATAGATTATATCCCACACATTTCACTGAGATAGTTTAATGAAAATCTATACTTACAATAAAAAAAAATTACACTCCATCTCCTGTCGATTTCGATAAATTTAGCCATAAATCCTTTTTTGAATTTTATGGCATCAAAATTCTTGAAAAATAAGATGTGTTCGAATCATAATATATATATTATGATTTATATATATATATATCATCATTACAGCCCTTCACAAGTCCACTGCTGAACATAGGCCTCCCCCAAAGAATGCCACAAAGCACGGTCCTGAGCCACTTGCATCCATCGACTTCCTGCATGTCTTACCAGGTCGTCACTCCATCTCGTGGGGGGACGCCCTCCACTTCGCTTTACACTTTATATATATATATATATATATATATATATAGTTAATCTCTTTAATTGTTAATAAAATATTTCGTTTCAATTACTGAAATATTAATAATGAGAAACAGATAATATATTTACGATAAATTTCTTAAAATTATAAATAAGGGATCTAACGAAAAATAAGGGAATTAGCCTATAAAGGGTTTAAAAATACCCTTTATAGGCTAACTGACAATTCAGAAGACGATCATTGGCTACATTACAGAAAAAAATTAGGCGAATTTAGGCTACTTTTATTTTAATTTTTGGCGACTCGGAACGGTCGAGACTTGGCAAGTGGCAACACTGCTTGTGAGAAAAAATAATTTGGTGTTGATCATTTGTAATTTTAATTACACTAAAAAACTTCAAAACAGTTATATTTCACGATGTCGGGCCACAATGTTAATGTATGTGATATCGGTGATGATGTTAAAAATGTTTTGAAGAAATTTCGTTTCCAGAAACACAGTTCAAATTCAGCATTAATTTTGAAGGTAAAGATAAACATTTAGTGTATACAATTTATTGGGTGTAAACACCTTCAATCTTTTATAAGGTTAAACTTTAGTGAGGGATATATCTTTTTGTTATTCTAGCCTTAAAATATATCGCGAAAACGCGTAGTTTTTAGGGCTATACTACCAAAATTTTTATTGTCTTACTTACGTGAACTGTTTCAAGAATGAAGTTCTCAATCACGAGTGACCACAACTCAAGTAAAAAAAGCAATTATGTTAATAAATTAAGTATATAACTTGTATATATTTTATTAATTTTTCCTCTAAGCCTTTTAATTTGGATTAATTATGCATCCTGGAGGGTGTAGTATAAATACTTAATATTCAACACTCCTCAAGAGGCACAACATTTCACAACACAAACCAAGGTTTGTGTTGTCTTTAGCAAACAAACTATAATATAATTAGCCATGACTGTGACTGGAAAATGCCATAGTGTCATTGCCCTTGATGCAAATACATTAGTATAATGTAGTTTTGCATGAACACAAGAATAAAGTGTCATCCCCGTAATGGAAATAGTAGAAAAAGAATTAATGAATACATTCTTAGTATAGTAAATAAGCTTAAGTTTTAATAAGATCATTAGAAGCAAGAGCTTTATTTATTTATTTATTTTACTACATAAATACACCTACTATACTACTACTACTACTACTGTATAATACAACAAATTAAATTTAACAAACAACAAATTTAAAACCTATGTGACATGTAAATGAGTGTGCATAATAAGTGTAAGCTGTTTTACAGTTCTTTTAAATATCTTTCTTTCTTTCAAAATAGATTATAATACCAATATTGCTGTGATCGCTAAGCCACCTTGGAAGTGTTCAGATTCAGGCAAATTCTCCCTTAAAGAAGTTTATGTGCAGCAGTGATTGTTGGCTGGCAGTCTTTAGTGGCTGTTGATGATAATGATAATATAATAGGTCTGCCATGCATTGTTTAATATGCTGAAACAGTCTTTAGTGGCTGTTGATGATAATGATAATATAATAGGTCTGCCATGCATTGTTTAATATGCTGAAATAAATTTTTTAAAATGAAACTTTAAAAATATTTATAGACCATGGACATTTTATATTATTATATGTAGTAATAGCTATAAATGATATTGTAACATGGTTTAAATAAGGACCCCGGAGTCTCTTGTAGGTTCTTCTCCAAGCTCTTGTTTTTGCAAACCAGTCTAGATATTGGTGTACTTATATAAGGGCTTTAAATTGATTTAAAAGTTTTGACTTTGATGTAGCTCTCAGGATAAGGACAGTATACATCCCTTCATGCAATCAATGTGTCATTTGTTTTTGTCATCTATTGGATTGCTTAATACTTGGTATATGTAACTTACCTCCGCTACTAAACTCAGAACTTGTCATTATCAATACAAGTAAATCAGCACAATGATTTCTTATGTTCACTCAAACACTACACATTTAATTTAAATGGATTTTTATGGATTATATCCACATATTGTTAATCAAGGCTTTCTTTAACTATGACATTGGGAAGTTGAACATCTCAGTACCCCGTGACCATGGATATTCAAAATGTTGGGAACATAAAATAAGATAAAATCCATAAAAACTAGTTTTGCTTGAGTGAATCAGGACTTTAAATTGCTATATAAACTATTTGATTGGTGCTAGTGGTGATCGATTATGTGGTGCTCTCCTTTTCTTGACTTGAACTACCATGGCTCTTTAGACATATCTACACTATATTATCTAGTTTTTATTAGGAAGATGCTGCCCATCTCATGACTTGTTTTCCTTTGTCGGCTCTTATGACGCCCACTGAACAATATGTGGTAGTGGATCTGCTACTATGCACTATTATAAATATATACTTTGTTTAGTTACAAAAAAACTGTGTACAGTAATTAGTGTCGAAATATTTTTAGGTAAATAGAGAAAAGCAAACATTAGAGGTCGATGAGGAACTTGAAAATGTGGAACTAGAAGAATTGCAGGATATTCTGCCATCACATCAGCCTCGATTCATCATATACAGGTATTTACATTTTAGAAAGTATAAAATAGAATATAATAATTTTTATTCAATATTGTTACAAGTAATTCTTATTGAAAGTAATTTTTTTACTTTACCACTCGTTCGAAAAAAATCGTCTGTCCTGGGAAGTACCAGCAAGAAACCCAGTGGCACTTTTTAAAAAATATATTTTACAATAAAAATGATTACAAACTATTTACAAAATTTATTTTAGAAGCAGCTTGGAAGCGACCACTCATTCCCAGACGTTATTATCAATCATGTATTCATTTATATTATAATAGCCCTTTTTATACAGCTTTTTTTTTATTTAAACATTTAAACTTGGTAATAGAGAGAGCCTGTAAACTTTCCGGCACCTTGTTGTAATAGCATATATATTGTCCCAAGAATGAATTACTGACTCTGTGGAGTCAAGAAACTGGTATCACTAGCTTGTGTTTGTTCCTAGTGTTTACAGAATGTATATCACTTTTTTTACTAAAACTTCCTTTGTTTTTGTGAACATACATACATTAAATTTTCGTAAATATACTGAGAGGTCAAAGTTAATATATTTCTTTAAATTTATCTCTAAGACTCTCTCGGTTTTAAGTTGTAAATAGCTCTAATTGCCCTCTTCTGTAAAATAAAAATAGTTTCTGAATCAGCTGCATTTCCCCATAGCAAAATCCCATGAGACATTATGCTATGGAAATAACTGAAATAAGCTGCAGAGCTTAAGTCTGCTTGCTAGTTTGGATATATGGGGTCCCCACTGAAGATTTGCGTCGAGAGTGGTGCCAAGAAAAACAGAGGATTCAACAGGGCTCAGTTCTTCCCCATTTAAAAACACATTGGTATTCAGATTCCCCGGTAATGCGACCCCTGTCTAATCGGCACCCCCTGTAATCCGACATGTCTATAATGTGTAGGTACAGTCGCGTCGCATTATGAATCCGCCACGGAGGGAGATATTCTTCCCGATTACATGGACAAACAGGTTGTAACTAGTTTGCGCCATCAAGAAGTTTGCTTGATGCATATTGTCTTAGTTTTAATGTGACTATAGTAGCGGCCTAGCGGGAGTTCATTATTTGCTATTCATTATGCATCACATGATTTTTAAATTTTTCTTTATCTTATATTTCATATAATTTGTTGGATTACAAGATACTCTTTTTCAAAAAGTTCCGGACTACCAGGGAGCTGTGGTAGTACTTTATAGTCTGACAAATTTGGTAAACCGAAACCGCCTTGCAAATATTTGTTGGATTACCGCGAGTCACCTGTATACTCATCTAAGGTCAAATGAAGTACCTTTTTTCGCTTTTACATAATATATTTTCTGCTTATTTAAATCTATCTAAATTGTGAAAACTTTAACATAAAAGGCTTTTCGCTTCGCGATATTCGAACTGCTGCCATCACTTGGTTCTTTTTGAGTGGATTGTGGTGTCTATGGGCCTTTGTGAAATTCTTATTAATCCTTTTTGGTGAATTATGTGCCATTGAAAACCAGTACATGACAATATAGAAAACTAAGCATCACATACTTACTGCAGGTATTATTAAGTATTTGTAAATATTTCAGCTATAAAATGGAGCACAATGATGGACGAGTGTCATTTCCAATGTGCTTCATATTCTACACCCCTCGAGATGCACACATGGAGTTACAGGTACAATATATTCTTTTATGTGTATAAATTCTTTTATTTTGCAATCAAACATACGGACAAGTAAATTATTTTATTCGTCCACTTATGCACAACATAGTTCATAGTGGGGGGTCAATGTTGATGAGAAGCGGCTGTTTATCGACCCATGTAGTGTTTTAACTCACTGTTGCTAATCATATGAGGCTTAGCTTTCCATTGACATCCGTCGAGTTGGGTGTTGATACGTATTTTTACAGAAAAGTTACACTATTATGAGCACACACACAAAGTTTCAACACGCGGAAGCGCGTAATTTTTGAAAAAAAATTTATTGAAAATCAATTATTCTTGCAAGATGACGTTGTGACAAGGATTAAGAAAGGAATGCTTCGGTGGTTTGGTCATGTAGAAAGAATGAACGAGGAAAGAGTGACAAAGCAAATTTATGTTGCAGAAGTGAACGGCAGGGTCGGGAAGAAACGCCCTAGACGGTTTATCGAACAAATCGGCGATATATTAAAAATGGGCCAGATTGGGAGTACCCTTCACCGACGAGCGTGTATGCGTAGATATATGCATGTAAAAGAGGCGAGAGAGGTGTGTCAGGATCGCGCCAAATGGAAGTCCGTAGTCTCTGCCTACCCCTCTGGGTGACAGGCGTGAGTGTTTATGTATGTTTTTTTATGTATTCTTGCAGTGTTTGTGTCTAATCCTACCGTAAAACTGGCGCCATTTTGTAATGTCATTGTCGACGTCAATAGGGATATCGATTCTTTCTGAAAAAGGTCGATTTTTAAATCGATTCAAATCGTAAGCTGATATATCGGTTCACAAAAAATTGATTTCTAAAATATCTATATTTTTTTAATGTTTGCATTTATAATGTAAATATGAACCCATTTTATGAAAAACAAGAAAGATACCATGATAAATGATCTCTTATTGAAATTTGTTTTATTTTAACAGTACCAATTAGGGCAGATAACAAATAAAATAGGTTAGGTTCAACTTATGTCAAAGAACCGAATTGATTGACCCCGACTCCACCTGGTACGAGTCTGTCCTACCCCTAGAGTGGTTTTATAGAGCCGGAGGCGCGTAGGGGGAGCAGCCTCCGCCTGCTGTAACAAATCGTAGGCATCGGACGAGCCGAAGCTGCGGAGGCGAGGAGGGATGCCTGCGATTTGTTACGCTTAGGCGTAGAGGCTGCTCTTCCCGCAGCGCCGGAGACGTAGTAGTCTCAAAATAGATACAGAAATCCTTCTGAATCAGTCCCCTTATTTTTTTATGATGAAGGGATTTTTTTCTCATAAAGTGGATTTATATTTACATTATAAATGCAATCATAAAAAAAATATAGGTATTTTAGAAATCGATTTTTTGGGAATCGATACATCAGCTTACAATTTGAAACTATTTAAAAAATCGATCTTTTTCGGGAAGAATCGTCATCCTTACTGACAATAATAATAAAAAATGGCGTCAATTTTACGGTAGGAATTGACATAAATATTGCAAAAATATTTGATTTTCAATATTTTTGTCTCAAAAAGTACGTGTTTCCGCATATTGAAACTTTGTGTGTGTGCTTATAAAAATGTAATCTTTCTGTAAAAATACGTATTAACACCAAACTCGACGGACGTCAATGGAAAGTCGTACCTCATATGATATTCATATAAATAAAACAAACTTATTCATCCAATAATTTTTACAATAAAATACGTTCAGGTTTTTCAATATTTTATTTTAATTTGTTTATGGTCTACGATGATATCAATATAATATATGCTATGAGGTGGTCCAAGGGCGACCCCTGCCGCACCTTAAACTACCATTACTGATATTGCGAGATTGGTGTAATGTTTTATTAAATTCAAATTGCCTAATCATACAACTATATTTATTCGAGTCAGAGTATATTTATCCAAATATCTTATCTTATTTATTTATTAAATTTAAAATATGTATGACTAATAAAAATAAATAAATCACATGTTAATCAAATAAATAAAAAAAATTGTTCAACTATCGTATGAATAGACCATTCTATTGGATTGACAGATGACTAAATATTCATAATTCATCCATTTAGCAGATGTCTAGACACACCGTAAAATTAAACACAAGAACTATTCTTTTGTGTGTTGTGAAATGAAAGAAAAATTCTGCAAAAGGTTCTTCTTCCACCAGTAAAAGTTAGGCAGCTCTAGGTAAGTTAGCCATGGTTCTCTCCCATTGTGAAGAAGATTTGTCTTTGGTCCATAGCTAAACTTGGGTCCGATAGGTTTTTCTTATCTTAAAAATGTTGGTTTAGTTTCAAAAAAGGCAATCACAAAATCTGGACCCAATTAGTGCTGTGATAGTTATCAATAAAAAATTTATATACTTAATCCTGTCAAGAAATTCACTTTAATAAAACTACTTTTACGGATTCTATCGCGTTCAATTAACTTATTTTTATTAATTCCCGACGTTTCGGGTGCTTTACAGTACCCATGGTCACGGGAGACTGAGGTAAATTCTCTGTAACAGCTCGGATTCAATAACTTGGCGGTGTTTCACCCTCGTACCCGGAATAGCACGTAAGCCGTCCGCGCTTGATCACTTTCCGGAAGTGTCGCATTACCATCCCATCGGGCTATGAGAGTGAAGTAATAGAGAGTGCACCTGTGCATATGGCTAGTCTCCGTTGAGCTTGGCCACCGTGGCAGAAACTTGGTCCTGGAGGACATTATTATTATGTTGTTTATGGCGGGTTGTATTCTCAGGTGATGTACGCGGGCACGCAGAGGGCGCTTGCAGCAGCGGTGGGCGCGCCGCGGCTGCTTGAGGTGCGCGAGATCGACGAGCTCACCTCCGACTGGCTCCAAGAGAAACTCACCAGATAAACCCTCTTTCTCTCTCTCGAACACACACACGTAACATGAAGAGCTTACTAGATAGGCCCTCTCCCTCACATAAACATACTAAGATCACGTGTATGTGCTGTATTGACTCGCTTCGACTGCAAACCTACAAAATTATGAGTGGTTTGCACAGAATTTACCGAACCAATTATACGAATGAGTGGATTCTTCCACGAGAGTCAAGTTTCACTGCTGTCTACTTGGCTTTTTTGGATCGTAATGAAGGTTTTAATATATCCAATGTGTGATAGCAGCACGAGCCGTGAGCACAAATTTGATCTGCAGGATTAACCATTAGAATATTTTTGTTGTAGAGATATGTTGAAGCTATATTACGGCTGCAGCACGAATAGGCCGGCTCGCCTGGAGTAGGGTATTGTCTCACAGAATACCAGTGTGAAACAGAAGAATGATGTTGCCATATTTCGTATACGGCTGTAGAAAACCTTTTACTGGTAATGAGACATTCCATCTTAGACTTCAGGTGTGACAATGCATCTGCAATTTCATTTTTAAATGGGTCAAGCATCTAATTACCATTAGGCCTACTCTGTTTGCTTGTCCCCTATTTTTTCTGCCGACTTCCAAAAAGGAGACGGTACTCAATTCGACTGTATGTATTTTTTTATGTGTGTCGCCTCATAATTTTTTACTGCGTGAACCGATTTCGATGATTCTTTTTTTATTTGAAAGCTAGTACTTCTCCTGTGGTCCCATATGAATTTGATCAAGGTCAGACCAATAGTTTTTGAGTTATTCTTAATAACTTATATTGAAGTCGGCTGTACAAAATTTTAAATTTTAAATTTTACACTCTCCAGACTAAATACAACACAGCATTAAGCTGCCATTTTACATTGGTATTCTAAGAGAGTATGATTCTTTCCTGTTCGAGTTGACACATTTGTGCTACAACTATAAAGTAGCTGCAGCTTGGCTCTATCACATATTAAATGTAAAATGTCAGTTGACTAACACCTCTTTGTGGTAACGAAATAGAATTTTTTTTATTAAATATTGATTATTCCATAATACCTACTAAATGTATTCTAGTTACAACTTACTGTTAAATTACTCGGCCAAAACACGGTGCGTATTAACTATAGCGTTTGATCCGTTAGATTCTCATTGTTTATTTAACACTGACATATCATCAGCTTACGTTACGTGTATGTGAGGGTAATATGGTCATCTTAAGCTTTGCCGCCCTATAAAACCAAAAGTAGGGAGAGGACAGAGACAAAAACAAAGTCGTATACAATAACCAATGTATTAGAACAAAAATAGAAAACAAGCTTTGGCAATAATTAGGAACACTTCGAAAAATCTACTTAAAAAATATTAATGATCAGGTTCACTATACTGTCAACTGTCAAAACGGCGTCGATAAAGCAGTGCCTTTTTCACATTTTATTATTTGATTGACTGATGAAGAGCTGTCGTATCACAGAGCCATCTATGCAAACAAGGTTGTAGTTTTTTAATTAAAAGAAAGTGACCATATTAACTGGATGACCATATTACCCTCACATAATTATGCTATTTGCTGGAAAGTGTATATGCCTTGATATACCCACAGTAATGCCATCTCCTGCTCACGATTAATGCCGCTATCTATACAAAATATTATTGAAGTATTAGAAATAATTTAACATTGAATATACCAAAATAAATAAGTTAGGGCCGATTTTTCATTCTTCGGGTAAAAGTTAAAAGTTTTATATTCAATCAAATAAATTGACAGAATATAAAAGTGAATTTTATTAAACTATTTTATTAGTACAACTGCAATATTTAAGTACCGTGTAGCGGCGGTGTAAGAATGTCCACTACCCCATATCATCCCGTAGGTATCGTAAGAGGCGACAGAGGGAAACTGAAATGGGAGATGGGTAGCAGCATCTTCCTGACAACAATTTAAAATAATAAAAAACGGGGAGATTTCCAACCCACCTGCCAAGCATGGCAACTTTGGCAAAATCCTCACAATTAGGCAATCTTTGGGGAAGGTCTATGTTCTGCAGTGGACTTACATAATATATAGGCTGTTAAGAAGAAAAGGAATTTTTAATAACTGAGGATTGAAAAATCGGCCTCTCGTTAAGCTAAGTAAATTAAAATGAAACTTTTGCCATAATTTGGTCCAATAGATTTTATACATATTTGGTTTTATTATATAGATTTTTTCAAGTTAAGAAATATATAACTTTATAGTAAACATTGAATAATTTTAAAATAGTTGGAAAGTTGTTTATATTTATATTTATCATATAACTATTTAACTAAAGTGGGTGTCGTTATTAACCGATATGATGCGCCCATTGTAAGTCTTCAGCAAACACTTCTAATGTGTACTACAAGACGGGCTCTGCAGCCTTAATACATTGCGCAAAGTTACCGTGAACACTAGTTCTTTGTTTTGTAAATTGCGAACCTTATTTTCGACAACCTAACACTGATTTAGTTTAATGTGACTAATAAAACTCTGTCATTAGTTATGTGCGCACTTAGTCAAAGCGATTTGAAGTTTATTTCAGATTAATCTAAAGATTTATTTCGTGTTTGCCTAAAACAACAACTGTTTTAAATGAAAATAAAAGTGCGTGGTATATTTACTGTACCGATCACACGCCCGCGCGATCTACTGCTGTTACACGGTTTTTTTTTGAATTCCCGTTTGGCAGTACACATAGAAGTGTCTGGTCACCATTGCATATTTATTTTCACTTTCCTAAGACATAGTAATAATTGTGTATTTATATTGATAGATATTTTATTATGTGCTTTAATGAAATTATATTGATGTTTTACCATTGTGAAACAATTTATTGATTTCATTCGTTCATTCATTCATTATAAATGAATAAAATTACTAAATTGTAAAATAAGTAATAGAATGAAATTATTTGTTAGTTCACGATTGCGAAACTATTTAGTAATTTCCAAAAATCTATTTAAAAACTCCATTGTTTGAATATTGGATAGACATTGTGATTATTGTAACATTCCTTGATATATTTCAACGCGCTACTTAGCTGTAACTTAAGTAATAGTCCTTATTTTAAAATTACTTAAGTCCATAGATAATATGTATAAAATGTGTACGCACTTAACATAAACCTGTACTTGCTTCGTTTAATTGACTTAAACAAAGATGTCGCTTATTATTAAAACTTGCCATTGTGTTATATAAAATTATATATTTTGATACTCGCTAAGTCTCTCTCGGTTACCTAAGCATAGATTAATAATTATCTGTAATGTTTATATAATACTCGCATAGAAATGCGATTCTTAGAAAATTGTGTATGTATTCGAAATATTTTTGATAGATTTTATAGTTTCGGGCAAAAACTTTATTGCAAATATACATATTATTATTATAAAATGAAATAGATTAATTTGCTTCTTGTTACTTTTTCATTTATTTGGGATCCTATCGCGATCCACTTACAATCTGTCGAGACTCAAGTTTGAGAACCACTGTTTTAAACCAACACAGCACATAGTCTGAGAAATAAATCATATTTCGACAGACTTCGATGTATACAACTAGACGGGCTCTGCAGTTTTAATACATTGCGCGTTAAGTGACGGTCAACTATCTATTACTCTTTGGGGCACCAACACAATTCTTACGGCGCCACGATTTGAAGGCAAATAGATCTCGATGAAATACGCCGAAAAGTAAGAATAAAATTTTTCGATATCTCGCTTAGTTTATGAGATATCGATACTAAAAATTACTTTCTTTACACAGGAATATTAACCCAAATTTACTTCTGCAACGGCTTCCGCGCTGCGGGAAGTGCAGCGCCTTCGCCCTTGCGTAGCAAATCGCAGGCAGCCATGCTCACCTCCGCAGCTTTGGCTTCTTGCCAGCCTCAGCCGCTACGGCTCGCACAGGTGCCTGCTGTTTGCTACAGCGGGCGGGGACTGCTGTCCCTCCGCGCCTACAGCTTTACAAAAACACTCTAAGGGTAGGACAGATAAGACTACGTGGAGACGGGGCGTGCTGATTCGGTTTTAGCATTCGATTTTTGAGTATTGATATCTCGGAAAGTAAGCGAGATATTGAAAAATTTTATTCTTACATTTTGGCGTATCCGCCTTCAAATCGTAGTACGTAGTTCATTTTTTGTTTTAAATGCAGGTCAAGTAGTATACAAAGAAGTCTTTGTATTTCCAAGTTTTTTCCTTATATGACACTGAAACCATGCCGTGCTTTGCAGTGAGACGTTTATAAGCAGTTATTTTTTATCATAAATCAATTCTTAATTAGTTTTTATAGTCGTAAGGAGGTTCGATCCAAATGTATTGGATGTAGTGATAATCTTAAACAATAGATCGAGATGTATCTTACTAATGAAATTTATCCTTTTTGCAATATGCATTATGTATTTTGCTATTTGTAAATGCGTAGAATAAAATTAATGGTGGACTAAAGTATTGCTAACAAACGTTTGTTCGAAAATTATGCAGGATTATCTTGCAATAACCGGCCAAATTTGCAGAGAAGGTTCAGAATAAGTAATATAAGGCAAATGATGAAAATGTTAATTAAAAAAATCTCAAACATTCTGTTCTTTTTATCTTTTAAATTCGAAATGCCTGATAATGCATTATTTTAACTGATTTTACTGCGCACGCACACATTTGTTAGGGTCCATCGGTAGGCAAAAACGTTTGCCCATAAATCACATTCAATTTGGGATAATTTCAAATAAAAATAGCAGCCTTATTTACTCGTATTTTCAAAAACTGCAATAACTGTATATCATTATTTACACATTTGAACATAAGTTTGAAATTTAGCTACTCTTTAAAAAATAACTGTAAATAAAGAGTGTTATATTTAGTGATCTTTAAAGATCAAGAAGACACTAATTTTAGTAGCTTTAGTGTTGCTGTATGTAAAATTTTACACTGTTATTTTACATTGTGGTCGGGTAGTTGACATCGATTTTAATACATCATAACTTCAATTAACCATTTGTAGCAATGTCTCGAAACTTGATTCACTTCCGTTTTAAGTTCAAAAATTGACAAACTATACAAGATATTTTTAATTACATGGAACTATAAGTAATTTATTGCAATTTACATACATTTCTATTTTGGTAAGTTTTGTTTTGTTAAATTGATAATAGACACGAGGTCAACTACCCTATTAATAATTTGTTTTACTATTTAATAATATAGGGAAAGGAATTCCAGGTGAAGAAAATGAATTACAAGTTTTTAAGCGATGTATTTCTTTATTAAACATTACATATTTATATTATAGTGAAAAAACATTTTGTAATATGGCTACATTGTAGTGTCATTTACATGTTGGCGCGCATTTTTTGACACATTGTATTCCAATTGTATTTTACCTTTGATAAAAGTTTTATTGCATTTGTACAGTATCTTATACAGATGAAATCGCAATGATTTGATAAAAATAAATAACTAATATGAGAGAAAAGTTTTTTTTTATATTAACTTTTAATGTTTTAAAAGCGTCACAGAACTAATTAGTTTAAACAATTCATGTTGAAAAATGAGAATAACTTATGATAATATCGTCTAGGCCGGATTTCAGTCACGGCGGCCAGCCTCATCGGAGCCTAGCCATCTGCGCAAGACAGGATTATATTGCACGAGTGTATGCGCGAGCATAGGTGCACTCTCTATTCTCTCACTCTCATAGTGTGATGGAATGCCAATCCGACACGACCAAATCAAACAATGGCCAACCAAGTATTTTGTCTATTCCACAATTTAATATATGTACTGTGTCTGGGAGTTTTGTACGTTCTTTTATAAAACTGAAGTGATGAGTCCATCTAATGGTAAACTGCAAATACAATCCATGGACATCTGCAACCAACTTCAGGCTAACAGGGAAGGCTACAAATGCATTGTCATCTCTGCGGACTAAGATGGAATGTCTTACACCCTGTAATCTAAATACTGGCTGGCTATAACCTTCAGACTGGGACCCAGTAGTGTACGCACTACTATTTGGCGGCAGGAACAGAGTGGTACCTAAACAGACGGACTTCTAAGCAGACCAGTGGTAAAATTAAAAATTTTGTACAAGCGACTTCAATATATATATTAATAAGGATAACGCAAAAACTACTGGTCAGGCCTTTATCAACATGAGAAGCACCAGCTTTCAAATTAAAAAAAGAATCATCAAAATCGCTTCACCTAGAAAAAAGTTATGAGGTAACACTCAAAAAAATACATATTGGGTAAGTATTTCCTTTTTGCAGTCGTTTAAAAAAAAGAGCACACGCCTCATTCAACACAATGGGAATTCCTACTGCAGGAAATAACTAAACTAACTAAAACTTAACGTCATGTTAGATAATACTCTTAACTATTTAAATAAATGAACACTACCCAATAAAGACTTTACCGTCATAAAATATTCATGGAACGCTTTAGAAGTAAATACAAATTACTTGGTAGAATACAATATATAATAACAGTAGACGCTCTCACAGAATACCAGCGTGAAATAGAAGTTTGACGCTGCTATGTTTCGGATGGTGAGTGTAAAGAATCGGGGATCCTTTTTACTGAAAACGAGGCATTCCATCTTAGTCCTCAGGAGTGACAACGCTTCTGCATTATGATTCTTAATCGAGGATGATGTAGATGTCTATGGGCCACAGCATCTACTTACAATCAGGTGGACTGTGTGCTCATTTATCACCCTTATCTAATATATAAAAATTAATATTTGTTTGTACTTTATGCGCTGCCATACCGTTCATCAGATAGCGGTAAAACTTTGTCAACTTATAGGTTAGGTTAAGGTTATAGGCGTAATACAATTAACCTACCGTAGGTAGCGTGCGTATCGTACCGACTTTATTTGAAAGTTATATATCATTCAATTTCAATGTACATATTATCATTCTTAAGAAGTCCCGCTGGGTTTCTTGCTGGTTCTTCCCAGGACAGAGGTTTTTTTCGAACCAGTGGTAAAGTAAATAAATGACTTTCAATAAGAATTACACATGTGATCTATATTGAATAAAAAAATATTCTATTCTATTCTATTCTTAATTAAACAATATAACTCTTCCAAATTTAAAACGATATTTCTACATTTATTTTATCTGCGGCTGCAACGCGCCGCGTGCCAGCTAGTTCTATATAAAAAAAAATACCACCAAAATAGATGAAGTATACAAACCAACAGCAAAGAAGTCCATTACGATGCGACATAGGACAAAATGAATGTAACATCACCTTCTTTGCTGGTACTAAAAGAGTTACCAAGACTGACAGAATGCCGACAACGATTAAGATTCGTTAATGACCCCAGTGGTCTGTGCAGTACTATATACTGCTGGAACGAGTGGGGGAGTTTTAACGCTTATTTGTTATCTACACTCACTCTTAGCAGTTATAACTAGGTAGCATTTTACCGTTACTGTAACAGTCCCTTAAAGTTCACTGCTGGATATAGACCTCCCCTATAGATTGCTTTATAGGGGGGATATTTGCTATGGTTGCCGCGCTTAGCACGCGGGTTGGCAAACGCAGTTTTATTTTTATTTTTAGTCTTTATTAGGAAGACGCTGCTGCCCAACTCCTGATTTGATTCCCTCTGTCGCCTCTTACGACAACGACACCCACGGGATGATATGGGGTAGTGGATATTCTTACACCGCCACTGCACGTTAAGGTGGCATAAGATGTCTATAAAAATTAGGCACTAAGTTATTAACATTTTAAATAGCAATTAACGCGTTCTATCTTCTTTTTTGAACTTTATCCCCATGAGCACAGCGGTGGGAGTGGTGCAGCCGGTGAGGTCCACGCCGTGGTGTTTCATGTCCTCGTAGGGCAGCACGGCAAGCTGCTGGTAGCCGCACTTGGCTGCCAACACCTGGGACCCGCTCGCAGTGAACACTGTGGCCACTGCCTCTATGCCGAAAGCCTCGCAAATCGCCTCCCTATCAGAAATAATTCATCATCATCTTTACAGTCTTTTACAAGTCCACTGCTGAATACTGGATGGTTGGCGATCCATCAATGTGCGATTTACTAGAAGTTTTCTTCCTCGTACAACTTCTTTACGGAATCGACTACTACCAGTGATATTTCTGGATCGATATGACTTAGGGACCTTCAAGAAAGGAGCCTACTCTTTTATAAAAGGCCGGCAATGCATCTACATTCCCCTGGTGATGCAGTTGTTCATGGGTGGCGGTCGACATTTACCATTAGATGAGCCGCATGCTCGTTTGCCCCCTTTTATACAGGGTTATTTTGCAGTATACGCTCAAATTTGCTTAAGGTTCAGAATAAGTAACGTTTTATCTTTTAAATTCAGAATGCGCGGTAATGCATTATTTTAATTGATTGTCATTCATAACTATCTAACGCCTGCTATTTTACTACGCACGCACTCATTCGTAAGGGTCACTCGGCAAAAACATTGTGAATTGAATAGCGTACGCTAATCTCATTTTGGGGATTATTTCAAATAAAAATGGAAGCCTTATTTACTCGTATTTTCAAAAACTGCAATGACGGTGTATCATTATTTATATTTTTGAACTTAAATATAAGGATACTCTATGAAAAATAAACCTGTATAAAAAAACATAGGCCTCCCAAAGAATGCAACAAATCACGGTCCTAAGCCACCTGCATCCATCGACTTACTGCATCTCTTACCAGATCGTCACTCCATCTAGTGGGGCGTTGCCCTACACTTCGCCTACCGGTACGAGGCAGCCACTCGTGAACCTTTCTTCCTACCCGGTTGTCGGTTCTTGGAGCTATATGGTCGGCCATCTGCTACAGCTAACATCTCCCTATCAGAAAAAATGTTAAAAGTTATTAAAAAGACGTTTGACTATGATCGTACTTGCTTCAGGCTGCTACTGAAAAGTGGTCGTAAACCTACCGATCATGGAGCGTCAGTTTCGAATCCAAGGTCGGGCCAAAATTCAGATATTGGTTTTTTCTGTTAGGATTTTCTCTGTAGTAGCCTGAAGTCAGAAAGTTAGCGGTATTTCACCCCCGTGCCTCTGAAAGCACGTAAAGCCATTGGTACTGCGTTATAAATAGAGCACTGAGCGCTCTTCTTAAATATCAAGTACAGCTTCACTTCATTCCCTGCCGAAACCACAAAATGTCCACCTCTATTTTCAAACGACTTCAAAAAAAAGGAAGAGGGTCTCAATTCGACTATATTTTTTTTAATATATGTTTCCTCAGAACTTTTTACTAGGTGAATCGATTTTGATGATTCTTTATTCTATTTTTTATTTAAAAGCTGGTGCTTCTCATGTGGTCCCATATAAATTAGATGAAGATCTGACCAGTAGTTTTTCAGTTAACCGTAATAATGAGTATTTAATTGACTTCGACTACGTTGATGATGTTCTCATTTTATTTATGTTGAAGTCTGTTGTACAAAATTTTTAAATTTTACCGCTTGTAAATGCTCAATTCTTATGTTATCGGTGGTGAAGGAATCGTCTATGAGTTCTATATGTGACAAATTAGAAATATTTTAAGTCTTTTTTGTTCTCGTTTGTAGTAAGTTTGACTTCGTTCCTGCCATACCGCTCTCAAAGAGGAGAAATAAAAGAAAGAAGAAAAGGAAAAATTCCGCAGGGTTTTAATCTATTAAGTCTTACTTGTAAGAATTTTAATTGTAAGAATTACTTGTAATCTATATTGAATAAAAATTTATTCTATTCTATTCTATTCAAAAATGAGGGTCTTCCCCTTATTTTTGCACAGCTGTGAGCTGTACTAACACTTTCATTGTCCGCTTTTCAGACACAATAGTAAGATAATAGCAATGACCTATATGTAGTGCACGTGACAGCGAAAGGGTAAAGGTTGTATCATTACTTTAATGCCTGAATTTAATGATGATAATGATGGTCATCATCATCATTATCATCATCATCATCACTATTACAGCTCTTCACAAGTCCACACAAATACTCGGCCCTGGGTAACGTACACCAAGTACGTCGTCATTCCATCTAGTGGTGTACCGTCTTAACTCCACTCACCGATACGAGACTGCCGGAGGACCTTTCTTCCCCATCGGTTGTCGGTTTGTCGAGCTCAAGACCTTACGTGGCGGAGTGTATTGATAATGTGAGCTAGTCACCTATGTTGTGAAATTGTAAATATGCGTTCTTACTAGGTTTATTACCCGACTGCACCAGAAAGAGGGTATTGTTTTTCGAGGGTATTTATGTATGTCTATTTCTTTGGCCACAATCTGTAGACTAAACGTTGTCGTGTGACGCGTGTCGTTAGATTCGTCTTAGCTGTGGGAGTACATATGGTATATTTTTTATTTCTTTTCAGCAAACTTTTTTACGCAGTCGGTTATTAATTACTGTTTTAACTTTTAAGCTTGTTTTTTAAACCTGAGGTGCGCACGTGCATACCGGGCCTCTAAGATCCTCGCGCCGATGTTCTGTCCTCGGTGAGCCGGTAGCACAACTAGACCGCTCGATGTCAGATACCTGTCCACTCCGTAATGCTCAAACACGTTAATCAACTTCTCAGCTGTTACCAACGTCTTTAAAAGTTTCTTCCAGATCTCCCCTGAAACCTGCGAGGATATTATCAATATTAACTTATATAAATATAAATATAATTCAAGTGTCTGTCTGTAATATTGTAATATGTGGCTTCTATTAAGCTCAGGGGATTATTTGCATGCTAATATGACATCATCATCATCATCATCATTACAGCCTTTCATAAGTCCACTGCTGAACATAGGCCTCCCCCAAGGAATGCCACAAAGCACGGTCCTGAGCCACCTGCATCCATCGACTTCCTGCATGTCTTACCAGGTCGTCACTCCATATAGTGGGGGGTCGCCCTACGCTTCGCCTACCGGTACGAGGCTGCCACTCAAGAACCTTTCTTCCCCATCGGTTGTCGGTTCTTCTAGCAATATGGCCGGCCCACTGCCACTTCAGCTTACTAATCCGTTGGTTTATGTCGGTTACTCTGGTTCTACTGCGGATATACTCATTTCTAAATTTATCACGCGGAGAAACCCCGAGCATAGCCCTCTCCATAGCTCGCTGAGCGACCTTGAGCTTCCTCATACGGCCAGCAGTGAAGGACCACGTCTCAGATCCGTAAGTCATTACTGGCAACACGCACTGGTTGTACAATTTCGTTTTAAGGTTTTGAGGTTTGTCTGACGAGAAGATGTGTCGTAGTTTACCGAACGCTGCCCAGCCGAGTTGAATCCGTCGATTGACCTCTCGGTCGAAGGTGGACTTACCTAGTCGGACTATTTGTCCCAGGTAAACATACTCGTCAACAACTTCGAGCTTAGTGCTCCCAACAACTACCGGCATAGGTGTGACATGGACATTAAACATGATCTTTGTTTTGTCCATGTTCATCCTAAGACCTATTCGTTGGGAGACACTATTGAGGTCATTGAGCATGGTGCTTAGGTCCTCCAGCGATTCTGCCATAAGGACTATATCGTCGGCAAATCGAAGGTGAGTGATGTACTCGCCATTGATGTTAATACCGTATCCTTTCCAGTCCAGAAGCTTGAAAACGTCTTCCGATGCAGCGGTGACGAGTTTCGGGGATATAACATCACCCTGTCTTACACGTCTCTGCAATTGGATAGGCTTCGTACTCTGGTTCTGTACTCGGATAGCCATCGTAGTTTTACTGTACAAACACTTCAGCACTTCGATATACCGACAGTCAACTTGGCACCGCTGAAAGGACTGCAGCACCGTCCCAAATTTCGACGGAATCTAAGGCTTTCTCATAGTCCACATACGCCAGACATAGTGGCAAATTGTACTCTTCGGACTTCTGTACAATTTTCCGAAGGGTATGTATGTGTTCTATCGTGTTAAAGCCCTTTCGGAAACCGGCTTGTTCGGGAGGCTAGAAGTCGTCAAGTCTGCGCGCGAGACGATTCGTAATGACTCTCCAAAAGAGCACGTAGACGCTGCTCAGAAGGGAAATTGGTCTATAGTTCTTCAAGAGAGCGGTGTCACCTTTCTTGAAGAACAAGACCACCCCACTTCTGCTCCACACCTCCGGTGTAATCCGGTGGAATTAAAGAGCTTCTGAAGGACTTCAAGTACCGGCCTTCCACCCGCATCAAGAAGCTCCGCTGTAATTCCACCTTCGCCTGGGGCCTTGCCGTATTTGAGGTGCTGGAGAGCCATTTTACTCTCGCTCAGACTGACGTCCGAGATATCTTCGAAATAGTGTCGGATAAGACTCGCTCTTGGATCGTTACTCACACTTGCGTGTGGCTCCAACGATGACGTGTACAGCTGCTCATAGAACCTCTCAATTTCACTCAAATTCTCAGGTGCCCCGGAAACGATGCTGCCGCACTCGGTCTTCAGCTTTGACAGTTGGCTCTTTCTGGCAGACAGATCTCTGGCAAAGACTTTGGAGCCTTGGTTCCGCTCGATCGCTTCTTCAATACAAGCTGTATTGAAGTTGCATAAGTCCCGCTGCATGCATTTGGAGATCTGTCTTTTTAGTTGCCTGTATACTGTCAAATCTGTTGAAGAATGTAGCTTCATCTCCCGTCTAACAGCCATGAGATTGAGAGTGTGATCGGAGAGTTTTTGTGTTCTTCTGCGGCGGGTCTTGCAGAACTTAACTCCGACCACATGGACAGTTTCCACGAGCTTGTCATTCATATCGTCCACTTCATTGCAGTCTTCTAGGCACTGAAAACGGTTTTGTAACTCGAGCTGAAAGGTTTCGGGACTTTAGAAAAGAGCACGAGGGGGACGGAGCGTTAACTTCATTAGACGAGACCTCTCCAACTTAACGTTTAGGTTCAGTGTGCCTCTCACCATTCGGTGATCACTACCAGTTTTCACTCTCGCGATCACGGAGACATCACTGAACAGTTGTCGTCATAATGAAGTCACTCTCATTTTTTGTGGAAACGTCGGGGCTCGACCAGGTCCACTTCACGTGGGGCCGCTTCTGGAAGAAAGAGTTCATCATATAGAGTCCCTCTTTCTCCATGAAGTCGACCAGCTGCGGGCCCCTTGGGTTCCGTTGCCCTATTCCAAATGTCTCTACTTTCAGCTCACCGTTCTCTCTTGTGCCTAGTTGTGCATTGAAGTCTCACATTAACACCGTATAGTGGGTTTTGGAGGAATGCATTGCTCTAGAGATATCCTCATATATTTCCTCCACCTCCTCATCGGGGTGTCCCGAGGTTGGTGCGTAAACCTGTATGACCTTCAGCGAATACCGTTTGCTGATTCTGAGTATAAGGTACGCAAACCTTGTCGACACACTCTCAATCTTTACAACGTTGTTAACAAGAGACTTGTGGACGATAAATCCGACACCTCCTTGGGACAGATGGTCGCCCTCCCGGTGATAGAGCAACTTGCCGGATTCGAGGATTACCGTGTCCTCCCCCTCTCTTCGGACTTCGGATAATCCTATAATATGCCGGCGTAACTTGTCTATCTCTTCTTCCAGCTCCACGATCTTCTCGTCAGTCCTCAGGGTGCGTGCGTTGTATGTTGCCAGGTCGAGTCGTCTTAGGTGGCAACCGAACCTCCACCGGAGATTCTTAGCACCCCCTACCCCGCCGTTACCATGGTCGCCACCGTAGCCAGGAATAGCGAGGCCGCCGGGGGACTGAGGGCCGTTTCTTTGTTAGTCTTATCGTAGGGGGGTATTTGCCATAGTTGCCGTGCTTGGCGAGCGGGTTAGCAACCGCAGTTTTTTTATAGTACCTAAGTTTGTTGTTATCAGGAAGTTACTGCTGCCCATCTCCTGCCTGTTTCCTTTGTCGCCTTTTACGACACCCACGGGAAGATATGGGGTAATGGATATTCTTAATCGCCACTACACGGCCATAAATAACAATTTTTTAAAATTAATGTATGTCTGCCTGTCTATCGGTCGGTCTGTTTGTCTGTCTAGCTGTGTGTCCGAACTAATCTTCATAATGGCCGAATTGATTGTAATGAAACTTCACGAACAGATATAAAGCCAGGACCAGTCTAGGCTATTTTTTTCCAAAAAAAAAAAACGTTTCATTTTTAGGGAAATCGAAAAACTGAAGAAAATGGTAATTGGTGACTATCTTTAATCTAAATGACGCCACATTAATAGATCACAAACAGAACAGGCAAAGCCGGGGCGGGCTGCTAGTTGGCATTAAAATATATTGAGCACTATGAGAATATTAATAATGGTCTTCTACGTCCATTATGTGCAAACCGTAGCACTACCAGTATCACATTATATTTATCTGAAAATGAAAAATGAAAATGCAAAATACTTTATTTTTTGATAGAAAGATCTTTTTATATAATATTGACTATATTTATTTTCATTTTTTTTTATTTTCAGTTAGCACCTTAACAAATACTTATTTAGCAGTGGTTCTCGCACTAGGCACGTAGACCTGTATCTTGACAGCCATATGCACATATTAACAAAAAACAGAATTAGTGCACGGCTGACTATAAAACTTTCCCTTATTTTAAATGTCTTCCTCGTTTTATTTATAGTCTATGAACATAAATATATAGTTAAACATACATACACATATAAATAATAAATTATTTCATAGTATAACAATATCAATATTGGGCATATAGCTACTATGACAATGTTTGGAGCAGCCACAGAATACCAGCGTAAAATAGCACCTTAACGCTGCTGTGTTTCGTATGGTGAGTTTAGAGAACCGAAGACCCTTTTTACTGGAAACGAGGCATTCCATCTTAGTCCTCAAGGGTGACAACGCATCTGCATTTTGACGCTTAATCGAAGATAGATGTAGATGTCTATGGGCCACAGCGACCACTTACCATCAGGTGGACTGTGTGCTCGTTTGTCACCCTTATCCTATAAAAAAAAGCCTCTCTGTTTGTTCATAACTAAGCGTAAGCAACCAATTTCGTATTTTCATTCTAGCTGTATCTAGAATCATTAAACGCGTTTGTAAAGAAATAAAACTCAAGTACAGTTGATTAATTGACACTTTTATATACTAGTTACTAGCTTATCTGGTAAATATCAGTCCTGAAACTAAGAAATCTTGTTCCTCTAAAACAGTTCACAAGTTTAACGATGCAGATCATAAACATGTTTGTTAAAAGACGTTAACTGGGAGCGCGGGCTTGCTTTAAACAGACTGCGTTACACTGTGAAGTTGTATATCTATAAGACTTGGCCTTTGTAATTCTATTAACGTATTAATTTTAAATCGGAAAGAGTTGAGCCTTGTTAATACCATCGTTATTCTAGGAATCACTCCAGATTCGAAGCTTCAATGGGGTGTCTATATAATATCTAAACTAGCAAGCAGACTAAGGCCGGTCACATACATACGGAATTACGTTTCGGGATACCGTTTCGGAATTCCGATTCGGGATTCCGTGAATACATCACACACATACGTTTATTTCCGTTCGGAATAACAAGGGTCAGTTGAGAGACGTTAGCTCTTCCGGGTCGATGGTACAAATGGGCGTGCCTCAATGCTCAATTCTCGCCCCCTTTCTGTTTCTTGTGTACATTAATGACTTACCTTACATAGTAGGGGATAACCATGATATAGTATTATTTGCAGATGACACTTCTTTAATTTTTAAATTAAGTCGACAATTACTAAAATATGACGAAGTAAATAATGCTATATCTAAATTAGAAAATTGGTTCAATGTTAATAATTTGCATTTAAATGGCACTAAAACAAAATGTATGAAATTCGTGACTCCAAATGTCAAACAATTAAATACAAATGTAATTTTAAATGGGGAGAAACTGAGTCTTGTAGATACCACCATTTTTCTTGGAATCACACTAGATGCGAAGCTTCAATGGAGCCCCCATATATCAAAACTAGCAAGCAGACTTAGTTCTGCAGCATATGCTGTAAAAAAGCATAGATTAATGATAAGTCATCGCGCGCTCCGATGACTTATCATTAATCTATGGTAAAAAAGATTAGAAGTCTTACCAGTGTTGAAACAGCTAGACTAGTTTACTTTAGCTATTTCCATAGCATAATATCGTATGGTATTTTGTTATGGGGACACGCAGCTGTCACTGAAATTATATTTATTTTACAGAAGAGGGCCATAAGAGCAATTTATGATTTAAAGCCTAAAGAGTCGCTGCGACAAAAATTTAAGGAAATTAATATATTTACTTTGACCTCTCAATACATTTATGAAAATATAATGTACGTACACAAAAATAAAAGTAGTTTTACAAAAATAAGTGATATTCATTCTGTAAATACTAGGAACAGACACAAGCTAGTAGTACCAGTTACTCGACTCCATCGAGTCAGTAATTCATTCTTGGGATGATGTATACGCTTTACAACAAAATTCCAGAAAATGTACAAAATTTGACCTGCTCAAAGTTCAAAAACATTATTAAACTAAGTTTGTATAAAAAGGGTTATTATAATATTAAAGAATTTATGGATGATAATAACTCCTGGAAAGGAGGTGATCGCTACCAAGCTATTTCTAATTTGTTGTGTTGTCAATTTGTGTAACATACATGACTGTAAGCTGTTATTTTTTTTAAAAAATCGCGCTGGGTTTCTTGCTGGTTCTTCCCAGGACAGAGGTTTTTTTTCGAACCAGTGGTAATTAAACAAAAGAGTGACTTTCAATAAGTATTATTTATAATCAATATTGACTCTGTTTCTGTTAGCCATTGAGTTCAGACATTCTGCCAGCGAATAATGACGACGATTTTCTGATTGCGATTCCATTGTTGCTGTATCATTCTTGCTGGGTGCATCCCCTTATCACCGTAAGCTTACAATATAGTCAATATTATTTCAGAATATCTATCTATAGATACAGATATATTCTTTAAATATGGATGTCTGTAAATTCATTCGATGAATTTAATAAATAAAATTTGATGAAAGGTTACGCTATACACATATAAGGCCAGCCACATACATACGGAATTCCGTTTCGATATTCCGATTCTGGATACCGAACACAGCAAGTCCATATAAAATATATGACCCGTCACACACGTACGGTAGTTTTACGGGCAAAACGGGATTCCGTATGTGTGTGGCCGAACCGTTCGGAATTCCGAAACGGAATCCCGAAACGGAATTCCGTATATATGTGGCGGGCCTAAGATTAAATGTAAAGACATACATAAACACACCTACTCGCTTCGGTCTTGCGACGAACACTGAACGCGTTCCCTACGGAATTTACGAATGTGTGTAGCGACTCATACAAAATTTATGGAAGACTTGCGTTCGGAGCGGCTTTTTCCCGTTCGGGATTCCGAACGCACAGGCGCTCATACGGAATCTCCAATCGGAGAAAATTCCGTACGGAAAATTACCGTACGTGTGTGGTGGGTCATAGATTTGATATGGACTTGCTGCATTCGGAATTCCGATTCGAGATTCCGAACGCAGCAAGTTCATATAAAATCTATGATCTGTCATACACGTACGGTAGTTTTTCGTTCGAAATTTTGCAGCCAAAACGGGATTCCGTATAAGCCGACGGCCGACCCGTTCGGAATTGCGAACGCAGCAAGTTCATATAAAATCAAGGACACGTCACACACGTACGGTAGTTTTCCGTACGGAATTTTGCTAACGCTATATCAGTATATCACCACTTACTACCAGGTGGGATTGTGGTCAAGCACTGTCTTATAATAAGTTAAAAAAAATGCGTGAGTGTCGTGGAACACTCGGTTGGAACGAAGTTCCTTGCATAGTATATTATTATTGATAAACGTAGGTACGAGTATTATATAAATTTTATATTATTGATTAACAATTACTAGCGTCTATTAAAATGAAGCGTCATTTGAAATGAAATAATATTTCTTTCATGGTAAGATAAGAAAAAGTGCGAGGGAGATGGATATTATTCCATCTGACTTCCTTATTTCGCTGCCAAGACTGTCTACACTATGACACAAGGGGTAGTGACGAAAAAATCTTACACTTTTTATCGCCTAGCTCCCATCCGCCAAACCCGTACCGTCCGATAAGGAATTTTGTTCCAATAATAATATACGCGATAAAATCCGTAAAATTAGTTTTATTTAAATGTGTAATGTTCGCGTAAATATCAGAAATTATTATAAACTTACATTTTCAATATCTTCGTCTTCCTCATTAGCGGTCTTAACAATGAGAATGTTGAAACCCGCCAGCTCGTTGGGCGCGCCATCCTCCTCGGTGTAGCAAGCAATGCTTATACCCTGATCCACATAGATCTCCCAATTGGCTCTGATGGTTGCCACTGACACTAGGTCTGACTGGATGTCTGTTTATAAAAATAATTTCAAGGGTAACATGTGCGTGCGTGTGGGCGTTGGCGTTGGGATGTAAGTTGCCGGTTTGAGTGCGTATGCGTGAAAGTGTGCGTATGTGTGCGAGTGTGTGTGTATGTGTATTTTCTATTACATATATCATCAACGCACCTAGCACTTGAGACAGCGGTTCATCCTTTAGGAAAGTTTTCTCCATCATGTCCAAGCAATTCTTTCTATCTGAAGGCTCCATGTCTCGGATCTGGTACCTGTAAATTGACACTAGCAAATACACATCAAAGTCAACAGAACTAATAATTTGTACTTTTTACGATTGTATTTATTGGTAGAGTTAGCTCTTCCGATTGTGGGAGTTAGGGTGCAAAGTGCTCTTCGGACTCATACAAATAGATTTCTCAGCTTTTTTTTAAATTTATATACACACAACAAGATACAGAAACAGTGTTACAGTGACGGGTAAACGGGTCAACGGTTCCCTACCACCATACGAAAGAGCAGCATGAAGCTGCTATTTTACGCTGGTATTCTCTGAGAGCGTGGTCCTTCCTCGGTGGAACTGACTCCTTCGTGCTACAACTATAATATAGATAGACCACTTATAAAACCGATTTCTTAAGTTTTAAAGATTGTACAAACTAACATTTTACCCGGCTGTCCATCTCGATCGCGTCCTTTGAATCTGCTCCAGACTTTACCCACAGGGATGTTGGCAGGGCGACTCCAAGACATTACTGAAAAAAGAGTGCAATGTATTTAGAATAGATATTTAATGTTCCATGATATGCTTGATTATTATCAAAACAACATAAGTATATGTATATGACTATCGTGACAAGAACTAAATACTTATATTAGTCGACTCTTTGGAACATTTCTCTGGACTTTTAACAGGCATACCTTTAAGCAAAATGTTTAAGAATAAAATCAGTAGATATTTTAGCAACTAAATATTTAAATTTATAATATTTAGCTTCGGGATATTTTACATTTTGCAAAAGAAGCATAAAATAACTAAGAAAAATAAATATGTAAGAGTAGATTTGATAGACCACAAACCCTTACAAAGAACACCGATTCGCGAAGGCATTGGAATTAAATACATCCTAATTTCAATAGAGAAGATGGCTATATGCTATTAACTGCCTGAGATCACATAATTAATAAAGTTAACCAAACCAACCCAAGTACACTACTGAAAGACTTCAAGATTCTGTAAGCTCGTTCTGCGTAGATCGGACCAAAAATTAATATTTAAAAGCTGAAGCTGAAGTTAGCCAGGTCTTTCTACGACGATAAACGCTTCAGTCCCCTCGTGAAAATCAAACTCGAAAAAATCCGCAAAATTAATTTTATTCTTACTAATATGTAGATCTTCAAAATGCGTTAAAAAGAAGCGCGAAGTAATAGAATGAGAAAAATGTGGGAGAAAGATGCTGTAAAACAGAATGCAGGGGATTATAACGATGTTATTTTAGGAATAATTTAAATTACTAAGGGCTGAGTTTTTAATCATCAGATAAAAGTTATCTGTCAACTAAATTATAAACAAACTGATTAAAAAAATAATATAAACAAAAAAAAACCATTTGGATTAGGTATTTACACTATAATAATTGTAATCTTTAATTTGTTTATGTTGTATTTCATCCATTGAATTACTTACTTATAATAAATCATTAGTACTTGCCATTAGTTTAATAAATAAGCCGTCAATTATCTTAATGCAAATAAAATACTATAATTGGCATTAATAATGACCTATATTACTTACATGCTGACAAGTGCACACAGATTAACTTGTTATAGTTATAGAAGTTGTTTTTAGTACATAAGACTTGAGTCTTTTGGTACAATAAAGAGTACAGAACACAACAACCGCTCTTGTGCGCCTTGTCATGCGCCTTGAGCTAGCAGCTCATATGATACTAACACTAAGTATTAAAGTAGTATGCACTAAACTTATTGCGTGAAATGTACTCGAGTTTAGACTTTCAATCTCTTAAAATAAAGGACATAGTCTAGGCATACCCTTATTGTTTAGCACATTGACACGAACTAGGATTGTGTGCGTAGATACTGGCTCCATTAGACGCAAGGAATCCGAAGCAGACTCCTGCAACCGCGCCACTGCCTTTTTTTTTATAGAATACTGCATACGTATTGCCTATGTTTATACATTAGACAATTAACCAGATGGTATGGTAAAATTCCCTTTCCTTCTAACCAGGGGCGTAGCTACCGCCGTATCAAACGTATCAATGCTACGGGGTAGCCTTACGACTTACAGAAGCCCCGAACGTATGTAAACAAAAATTCTAAGGACTTGTATGGGACAGGATGTTGGTTTGAATTGTTTGCCTAGCTTAGTTCCTAGGAGTATTAATTGTAACTAATAACTTATAATCAATATATAATTATTTTAATTCAATTCGAGAGTTTTTGTTCCTCTTGTGAAAAATCTTTAACCTGTATATCCCCCCCCCCCCCCCCCCCCGACGAATTTTGATACAGGGACCCTCTAAGGCACGCTACTCCACTGCTTCTAACGTAAGGCAGCATATTGTGTCACACAAGCAGTAGTTATTCTGCAAACAAAGTAAACAAAAGTTGAAGTTTTTTTCTCCAAATTAGTTATTGATTTAAAAAAAATATTTAGAATATTTTCTTAGAATTTTAATTGAGGCGGATCACAGTAATAGTGACTTTTTTATAATATAAGTTCTTGTACTATTATTTATTCTGTGGTATAAGGGTGACAAACGAGCACACAGTCCACCTGATGGTAAGTGAATGCAGTGGCCCATAGACGTCTACATCTATCCTCGATTACGAATCAAAATGCAGATGCGTTGTCACCCCTGAGAACTACGATCGAATGCCTCGTTTCCAATAAAAAAGGTCTCCAGCTCTCTACACTCACGATGCGAAACACAGCAGCATTGAGCTGCTAATTTACGCTGGCAACCTACGCCGCGCCGGTCGAACTGTCCCATTCGTGCTACAACTACCTACTTACTACTTAGAGAGAGAGAGAGAGAGAGAGAGAGAGGGAGAGAGAGAGAGAGGGAGAGAGAGAGAGAGGGAGAGAGAGAGAGAGGGAGAGAGAGAGAGAGAGAGAGTAAGAATTGAGTTTATTGATTTTTTTTAAATACTAATAATGCTATTTATATTACTAATATACCATTTAACTACTCCTGGTAAGCTTAAGTTGCTTGTTTTGGGAGTTGGTACCGACAGTTTTGTATATGATATTGGTTGGGACCTTTTTCATGTCGCGTGATGACGACTTTATGGAATTCGGCACACAATTTTGCCCCGTGATATATGTATAAATGTCGTAAGTGGCGACTATGGGAAAAGACTGGAATATCTCATGTATACCATACCATCTCATGTACGCCAAATATAAAATACTCAGACTGATAACATGGGAGTGATGTAAAATGTGCGAGATGACTGATACCACGATCGCAAATCCGTGTGACAAGCGCGGCGGCGTCGGCGTACCCTACCTACAAATCTATGTCTAGTTTTTGATGATGAAGATACGGGCTGATTTGGAATCCTGAGATTATTTAACATAGGTTGACGTAATTAAATCTTACATCTTTTGATTAAGTAAGATTAATACTAACAAAATATTAAAATAAGATAAATATCAAATGAAACAAATGTGAGAAAAGTGTTTCACTGCACGGTTCCCTGAACGATGTCATCCGAAGGGCTCTTGTCTCTATAAATTATCCCTCAGTTTTCGAGCCTTGTGGAATATTTAGAGACGATGGCAGGAGACCCGACTTTATGACATTGGTCCCTTAGAAGAGAGCAAGAACCCTTTTAATTAAAACTAGTTTTTACGGATTTTATCGCGATTCGGACACGGAAGTCCCCTCGTGACCATGAGTGCTGTAAAGTGCTCGAAACGTCGGGAATATAAAATAAGTTAATATACGCGATAAAATCCGTAAAAATTAATTTTATTTAAATGCTTAGTGTTCGCGTAAATATAAGAAATCATTAGGTAAAGCCCTAGTGTGGGATGTCACTTGCGTAGACACTTTGACGGTCTCTCAACTCAGGGGTACCTCGTTTAGAGCCGGGGCGGCATCGGCAGCTGAACTGAATAATTGGCGCAAATATGAGTCTCTGAGAGATGACTACATATTTGTGGCATTCGCTGCAGAAACTATCGGGCTGTGGGGTTCACGTGCGGTGAAGTTCCTAAAGGAACTCTATTCGCGACTGGTCGTTGCTGCTAGTGATAAGAGGTCTGGTTCTTTTCTCGCTACAAGGCTAAGTATAGCCATTCAGCGGGGAAACACAACCAGCGTTCTTGGCACGATACCACGGGGAGTAGGACTGTATGATAATTTAAGTTATTAGTTTTAGTTTTTTTTATTATAGTTTTTTTTTTTAATATTATATATGAAATTATTTATAATTCCACAAAATATTAAATTAAGATTAAAAATAAAATATTACAAAAACCTATAAATTATTCAAACGAAGATGGAGTACATAGTGCAAAGAAATGTTCAAACAGAGTTAGATTCGTGTAAATATAAGAAATCATTATGTGAAACAGTACGGACTGGAAATAGCAAAATAACAAATAAAATTTGCCGATAAGTTATTCAATAGATTGACGTATCGTTAGAAACAACGTGAATGCGCGAGCAAGAAAAGGGCAAGGTGGATGTGCGCGCACGCGGCCACGGCTCTCAGGCCGACCTGCATTAGTATCTACGAGTATCAATTACGCGGACAACGTTGTTTAATTTATAAATGCACTATCATTTATATCGCTATTTGTGCAAACTGTACGACTAGGCAACGTTGCTCTTGAATATCTACATTTAGTAAAAATGAATAATACCTACTTACTTAACAAAGGGCCAATTTTACAACTCTCAAATAAATTTTATTCGTAGTATAAAATGCAACGTAAACAAATTATATGAATATAATGTGGGAGAGCCACGCTGCAGCTAGCTACTTATATTCTGGTTGTAGCACGAATGGGTCGGCTCGGGCCGGGGAAGGACCAAGCTCTCACAGAATACCAGCGTAAAAAATGATAGCGGGTAAATGCTGCTGTGTTTCGTATGGTGAGTGTAGAGAACCGGAGACCTTTTTTACTGGAAATGAGGCATGCCATCTTAGTCCTCAGGGGTCTGCTTGATTTTGATTCTTAATCGAGGATGGATGTCTATGGGACACAGTATCCACTTACCATCAGGTGTAAGGTGCGTTGGGGTAATACCGGACAGATTTACGACTAGTTGAAAGAGTCTGGCAAAAACTTTATTTTCTCGACATCCGTATACGTCAGATTTCTGGAACATGGCGCAAATCATTAATGGTTAAATGTAGTTTAGCTATGAGAATCTTTTGCATTTGTAAACTAAACGGTTTCTGCTTTAAACATGTGCGAAGACAAGACATACTTTTTTATATGCATGTTGAAGAATTTGCCATCAAGGGATAAGACCGGACTTAAATTTAAAGCTACTTCTACTGCTTAGAGAACAAAGTTCATAAAAGGGATTTGTCATATCTTTAACACTCAAAAACATATTTCAATATAATAATAATAATAATAATAATAATTCTTTATTTCAGATATCAAAGATCCATAAGTTGTTAGTATGACTTATATTAGGTTAGTAATTGAGAACATTAAATAATTGATCTATAAATTACTAGAAACATAAATGTTCCAAACGGTT